TTAGAGTACAATGCAATTCATTGTCTGTATAAATAATTGTGTAACACATGTGTTCGGAAAGTGCCGGGAACGAGTTTTTTCTATGCTAGCTATGTGACACAGCATTAACGTTAAAATTAACGAACGCTAATGTTAGCGCTATCGTTTCGCCATAGTTATACAACTATAATGAGATAATAAATTCTTAAGCACAGTACGTACGTACGTACTTTAAGACTTAGGCATGCAGTATTTACGTGCCGATATTTTTAAAATCCAACATGATTGTAAACAATGTTCTGCGACTTTTTTAAGAAGCTCGTTACGCAACGTCTTTTTTAAATTACAGTACCATGCAAGGTACCCTTACTGATTTGTACCTAAATTATTTCGAAGAAAGTAATTCCAGAAAACATTTCGGTATTGTTTTATATTTGTTATATGAAACTTACAAAAAGTTGATAATAATTGAGAGTATTCAAATTTATTGGACAATAATACCATTTATATTATGGGCAAACCGTTTAATCAAAATACCAGAGTAAGCAAATGGCCAAAGAATAACGGAAGATTGATGAGATCGAATGTTCAACTTTTTACTAGAAGCGATTCTAACAATTTTTGTTCAGGTTATACTGTAATACGTTAATTATTAAAAAACCAGAACACTTATTCCTGTATTTATTATATCCAAATAATAGCCCATTTTGCTAATAATCGAACAGGAATCGATAAGCTCCACTTCGGGTATCTTATTTCTAGTAAATAAAAGATGAATATAGATAATTATTTTATTTAGAGCAATAGAATAGTTTCTTGGGGTGTCGTTGGAAAAAAAATTAATCGTCTAAATTGCCATACTTTATAACCATTAACCAAATATCACGGTACAACCTGAATCCCAACAGACTTAGCAGTAGCAATAATACTTTTACAAATGCCCTTTAACTCGAGATCTCTCATATTTTCTTGTTTCTGTTTAATTAGCGCAATTTCGTAAACATGTTTCAAACTAACTTTTCCAACAATTTCCGTGCCAGGTTTACTTGCTCCTTTCTCAACTTTGGCTGCTCGCTTTAAAAACCATGTTGTAGGTGGTAACTTTGTTACAAACGTGAATGTACGATCTGGCTTTATTGTTATGATTGTTGGAATTGGTGTATCTAGCTCGTAATTTTTAGTACGTTCATTAAATTGTTTGCAAAAGTCTATGGCTTTTACGCCACGTTGACCTAAAGCAGGTCCTATTGGAGGCGAAGGTGTTGCTTTAGCTGCTGGAACCATACATTTTATTTGAACGTTTTTAGCTGTTTTTGCAACTACCTTTGCCATTTTATTTTGAACTATTCTGTTAATTCCAGTTAACTAATGATCTGATAACGATAAAAAAAAAAAGATCCACCAATAGTATCATAGTATTATAGTATTATAGTATCATAGGAGGTACGATTTTCGATTATATGTACGTACCTTTCTACTAAATCGGTTAAAAAAATAAAATAATAATGGACTTTCAAATGTATAATGATGCCGAAAGGCAACAAATTCAGAAAATAATTGAACAGAAGCAGGTATAAAGATTTAATTGTAAGCTTGAGTCATTTTTATTCAATAATTTCTTTTCGACGAATTCCACCTCAAAATGCTTCAAAAAGATGCGAGACTTTTTGAAATTTTACACCAATTTGGTTGAAAGATGCTTTACCGATTGTATTAATGACTTTACTTCGAAGGCTTTAACTTCAAAAGAGGTAAGGTAATTGGTTTCATTTTCCAAATTTGTCATCCGTTCTGATTTAGCTCGTTACAATTGAAATCTGACATTTATAAAATTCTCAACCTTTCTATATGAACTAATTCGTTACAGGAAACATGTATTGGCCGTTGCACCGACAAATTCTTAAAGCATAATGAACGGGTAGGGCAACGATTTGGTGAATTAAATCAACAATTAATGCAACAGCAGCAACAGGCCCAACAATCTCAACCTCAGCAAAGTAGTGGTAGATGGTTTTAAGCTCATTAAAAATAATGACTTTACATGTGCTTTCGTAAGAAAAAGTTTATGTTGGAAGGCTTGTCTACTTACAATAAATCTTCTAGGTTCTAGGACGCATTCCTTTAGAACATAATATAAAAGTCATATCAAAAATAATAAATTTGTAAATGTTTTGATTTAATGTAGTGATAATGTTACGTTTTTCGTTCTATTTTTGCTTTATTTAATATTTAATGTAGTGATAACGTTGCATTTTTCGTTCTATTTTTGCTTTATTTAATTCAGAGCGAAGCAAAACCTGTCTATTACGTACTGTACAAATTGCACAATGTTCGATCATTAATACGTCCGATCAGAGTACAAAAAGCATTTACGTACAGTAGAATAAATTTTGTCATATTAATTGTCTAATTCAAAAAAGAGATGTATACTACCTTTCAGCATATCATCGGTCAAAAATTTCGAGCATCGAAAATAAGCTTTCATTCACTGAGTTTTTAATTCGGTTATCATCGAGCATCAGTGAACGTTAAAATTTAACTACAGTATTTGTTTTGATAATGATAACATAATGATACATTTTTTGATTGAAATTTAACTGTGTTTTGATAACGATAATATGATTATATATTTTTTGATTGATTATAAATGCAATTGCATAAAGATTGATTTAATAAATCTTTCAAAATTTCTAAATGATATTGGCGTATTTACCATAAAAACATGGAATTCGATTTAAGATTGAATAAAGAAACATCTTCAGTTAAATACTTCCGTGGAGTTCTCCTTTATTAATGAAGAGGACGAACCTAATTACATTAATATTCCGGTTTGTGAAGAACCCAAATCTAATGCAGAGATGGCTGTTGCCGATAGTTCTAAAAAACGAAGATTAGAAATACGTGGTGGGTCTAAAAAACAATCCTGGGTTTGGAAACACTTTGATTCAATCAAAGTAACTAATAAAAATGGTAAAGAAATTTCATGTGGTGAATGCCAAATTATGGATGATAATAATATACGATGTTCTCAAAAAATCAAAGTTACAAATGGATCAACTTCAAATCTCATTCATCATCTTTCTTCAGTACATGGAATTACAGTAATTTTGCAAATTGTTGTTATTATTATTACATAATGCATTATTGCAGTTTTTAATTATTTATTTTTATTGTCCAAAAAATCTCTTGTCTAAGATTCTAATTGGGGAGACCGACTCTGATAGGCAAGAAAATAGAAAGCTATGGATTAAAGG